CTCTCTCTCTCTCTCTCTCTCTCTCTCTCTCTCTCTCTCTCTCTCTCTCTCTCTCTCCTTTCCCCTTTTCCTAGTCGACCCATTTTGATAGCAACCCATTGCCGGTCTCACACACGCTAACGCCGCACACCGACCACTCAACTTGAACTGCTTTCACTTTTATCTCCGCTCAACAGCAACAGCAACAGAAACAACAACATTACCAAACAGAGTGGATAACCAGGATAGACACTTGTTGAGCAAATTGGAAAATTTCACCGTCATCAGAGGCATGAAAGCGCAGACAATGGGCCCAATTAGCGGCGCCAATTAGCGCCTCAATTGACACTGTGTTCAGGGAGACTGAACTGGATGCGGAGATGTGCTCACATGCTCTTTTGAAAATGATGTAATTGACAAAAGAGGCTGTTGTTCTTCTAATCCACTGCACGTGCACTGCTCATCAGACTAGTGATGTTTAACTCGTGTTTAATTGCCTGGTCACTTTCAATTCTTCGTCTGTGCCTTTTCTTTTACTTTGTCATTCATCTTCTCTTGTGGGTTCGTCGGCTCATTTGAAAGTGAAAACGCGGTTTTCCGGGCAGCTTAGCACCACAACTGGTTTGCCTGCAAACATGGCTTCTAAGAACGCTGCTAATTCTCCACTACAAAGCAACAGATGATACTAGTTCTTGTAGTTTCTTTCGGGTTTTCTAGACTGCGCACACGCTCAGCAACAAGCGCTGCTCGATCAGTGTTTTCCTCTAATCAGCCAAGTGCACTCTTTTAGCGTCCCTTAATTTGCGGTAATAACAGTACAGAGCAGGAACGGTAATGGTTTTGTTCTCCTCCTTACTCTTCTTTCAAAATTAGTGTTAATGTCCAGTGTTACATGAGTTTGCTTCTGCTGGTTGATGGTCTTCAGTGCTGTTGAACACAATCACCACAATTTGCCGTTGCACCGTTTTTGTCCTCCTCATCGGCAGTCATGATAACTTCTCTTTAGTGTTTGTCACTGTCCTTTAGAGGAGCACACGACGAGTAATCGGCCAAGTGCCCATCAAAAAGAGGCACAAGTTTTTGCTGCACTTTGCCATCTCGTTAGCAGTAGTAATTGGTTGTTGATGCCTGCTGATGCCTCCCCCGGATCTTCTCAATTCCCGACAAACACTAAGTGATCGATCAGTGGAGATCGTGCAATGCAGCACTGGTGGGGGGATGAACCGGCGGTGGTAAGCACTTTCTCAGCAGACGTTTAGCCCAACTTGGTGGCGTTCACCACCAACTCCTACGAGGGATGTCCACTGCAGCGTTGCATTGCCCATTTCGATGTCTCTTTTTCTTCTTCTTCTTCTTCAGCAGCAGCAACAACAACAACAACAGCATCCACAGCTGCTGCTGCTGCTGTCACTGTCCGAGAAAAGGCGCGATGACATGCGTTCAAAAATAGAACAAGATCATCGTCGGTTGAAGAGAGAGAGAGAGAGTTGCTCGCTCGTTCTCTCACGAGCTCACACAATCCCTTTTCGTGCAGTGCCGAGAGTTCTTTGCATGCGGATCCGCTGCGCAGTGCTGGTCAGTGCTGGTGGTGAGAGGTGTACAGAGACGGCCAACATCAACAGCAGCAGCATCAGCAGCAGTGTGCGAGGTAGAAAAGTCTCATCACTTTTACTATTATTACCCGCAATGAGTCGCATCAGCAGCAGCAGCAGTAGATGATCGGAGAAACATCAAACGCGCATTCATTTGCTTTGCAGTGTCTTGGCTCACTCACTCTTTCTCTCACTTGGTGCGATGTATGCTTTTAGTACCTGGGCAAATATTCACTAGGACTGCTGCTGCTGTTGATCAGCACTGGTGGTGGTGGTAGTGGTGATGGTTCGTAAGCTGCTATAAATAGCACCCGTCGAGCACACTATCATCGCCTATTTGGTCAACGGTTATCGTCGTCACCATCATTACCGACTTTTGCTGCTGTTGCTGCTGCTGCTGTTGCGGCGTTTGCACTCATCAGGTGCATGAAATAAAATGAAACTGTCCTCTACTGACTCCCTTCATTTGCTGGCCACATTTTCATCACCGTTTTGGCGGTAAACATTGAACGAGAAAACCCGGTCTTAGGAGAACAGGCTGTGCTGAGCAGTTGGATTTCTTTTGTCAGTCAGTATTGCACCGTGCTCATGAAACGGCCTGTGTGTTTGTGTCACTGGCTAAGTTAGTAAAGCCACGAGACCACCATCGTTCGGTGGATAATTCAATCCGCTAATGGCCTCACGCGCATAGATGGAAAAAGCAAAAGAAAGATATGAGAAATGCTCATTTGGCTGAAGGGAAAGGACAAACTGAAGAGAGTGAAGTGACCATTGGCAATTAGCACTTCTGTTTGGGAGCACTGAAAAGAAAGGAAAAATGGCATAGAGGGGAAGTCACTGCTGAGTGACTTCGTGTGCAATGTCTCCACACTGTGCAGTTTTCTTCTCATTCCCCTGCAAATCATTCATTTTTCCCCTCCTGGTCTTTCCTTGCCCTGACAGACATACACGGCAATTCGTCGGCTCATCAGTTGCACTAATCACGGTGGC